GTCATCAAAATCATCATCTTTGATGATCTTAGCGCTAATTACCGCTTTAGATAATTTTGTTGAAAGTTCTGGACTCAGATCATGCGATGACGATTGATCATGAGCTTCTTCTTGAGATTGTTCAACCACTGACTGTTTTTGATTAAATTCTGTATCATCGTTTTCACAATTTTGAGCCAATTCACTCGAGCCTTTTTTATTCAATGCCTTGTGGCCCCTAACGCGCTGATTATATATTCTACGATTTCTTTTTCTTATTTTTCTCAAAGATTGTAAGTCTAATGCATTCTCATTAGTAGTTGGAAAATGACTTATTGTATTTGTCTGAAATATTTTGACTAAATGATAACGCATAAGAGCCTGGTCATAAACGATGCACTCCGGTTTTTGATTGTATAGTAAAGATATTGCAAACGCAATAGCAAATACTCCACAATCAGTTCCATTACATTGGTTTTGAACTTTCATAAAAATAATTGATTTTGAATCAAAATTAAGATAAGGATATAGATGTTTTAAGAAAAGAGTTTGATCGTCATTTAATGAAAATCGATTCAAAGAATCGTAAATGTAAATCTTTTTTGTATCATAGTATGAACATATCCAATGTTTATCAGTGCTATATAATATTTGTATATGATTTTTCAACTGTGGTACGGGTTCGATTTTTTCCGGTCTCGCTAAATATAACGTGTCGCGAAGATCATATTCTGAACAATTAGCTAAAATTAATTTGAAATGATACATATGTTCATCCTGCAGTTGACCTCCACGTCTTACTATATTTAAAAGCGTGTCACTTACATTTGGTAAAAAACTTGTATTATTGGTATTTCTTCGTTTTGTTGATGATAATTCTTCAACTAACGTTGTGTGAACTTTTCTTTTTCGTTCCGTTGTTAGCAACTTGATTTTCTTTGAAACGGAAACAATGTCTTTCTTAACATTTTGAGTTGAAGTTGCATCGTTATTGTTAAATGAAACTGTTTCAGTTTTCCGCTTCTGTTTAGTAGGTGATGAACCGTTTTTTATAGTGTTTGTGCTTGGTTCGACTTCTACATTATTCTTGCGGGAAAAATTTTTGCTATTCAGAGCTGACAATGAATTATCATTACCTAAGCTTATTGTTTCAATTTTTCTTTTGCGTACATTTTTTGATAAATCACTAGTTTTTGTACCTACAGGTTTTATCGCCGCTTTATTTTCTATTTTTAAGTCAACTTTTTTAAATTTATCAGTTGGAAATACGTTATAATTACTGTTAGTAACTATAATGTTTCCTTCTTTCATGATTGCGGAAAAAGTTTTCATCGGAATTTTTCCATTATCACTAGGTATCTTTGGGAAACTCGTTAAAATACGATCATTGAATAGTTTTATCAAATGGGTACGCATTTTATTATGATCGAAAAGGAATGAAGATTTTATTGGCCACTCTCCTAAGGCCAATGAGGTTGCAAATGCAATTGCATACACTCCACAATCATAATGATTTGGTTGTCTCTGTACATCAGGAAATTCAATTGTATTATTTATTGAATTAATATTAAATGTAAATCCTGGGTATAATTTTTCTAAAAAAATCCTATGCTTTTCATGAAGTTGTTTTTCATTCGCGGAATCAAAAATATAAATTTTTTTGGTATCATAATAACTACAAACCCAGTGATCGGTGCTATACTCTTCATTTTGATTAAAAATATAATCTGTGTCGCGACTATGCAATATTTGTATATGCTCTTTATTAGGATCCAGTTGTTCAATAACTTCTGGATGTTGAACATACCAACTTTCTCGAATAGCATACTGAAATTGATTGTGCAGGAGGAGAGCAAAAAAATCTATATGCTCATCTTCTAACAATTGTTTGTCAGCAATAATGGGTGATTTTTTTAAATTATGAAGAGAAACCATTTTTGAGTACAATAATTAATAAAATAAATTAAGGTTAAAATATTTGTATGGGAAATAAATTACAAAAAAGTTTTATGTAAGTAATTTATGAATTAATTTATTATAATTTTCAAGTTATGTTAGTAAGTTTATATACAATGAAGTAAGAAATTGAAAAAAAAAGTCACCTGTAAGATTTACAGAATAAATAAATAAAAATTTTGTCTTTAAGTTAATATTGATGAACTAATTTTTACTACAAATTTTTATAAAAATGTTATATAAACTGTTTTGTTTATAATCAGACTATTTTTTTACAATGAAACAATCGGACAGCAGACTGTTTTTTTTTTTTAATTAAACAATCGCACAGCAGACTGTTTTTTTTTTATTGAACAATCGCACAGCAGACTGTTTTTTATAATAATCAAACAATCGCACAGCAGACTGTTTTTTTTTAATTAAACAATCGCACAGCAGACTGTTTTTTTTTAATTAAACAATCGCACAGCAGACTGTTTTTTTTTTATTGAACAATCGCACAGCAGACTTACTTTATTTTATATATCACTTAAATTAGACAACAGAATAAAAATTAATTATTAATAATCATCAGCTTAAAAGCTAATAAAACGCTTAATTAATTAGTGTAATAATAATCAACAATTGGAAACAAGTCAAGTAATATACATATATATATATATATATATATATATATATATATATATATA